TGGAATCTTTTGCATACTGACATGTAAAGTGTTTAGCGCATAAGAATTCCCCTAAATTTCAGGTGTCCTGGTAAGCAATTTATTATTTTATTTTTATCTTTCAAATACCAGGTTTCTTCAACAGCGATTGAAAAAGGCTGTGCCCTACAACCGAATGAAACTTATGATAGTGGGAAATACTGGTAGTGGTAAAACCACATTATTACAGCAGCTATTGAAAGCCAAGAAATCTGACCTTGGAATGCAGGGTGCCACAGTGGGCATAGATGTCAGAGACTGGCCTATCCCGATAAAAGGCAAAGGGAAGAAGGACCTCGTCCTCAATGTATGGGATTTTGCAGGTACAGGATTTATTTCTCTAGGTGTTTATTGCTTGATTTAAAAAATTTAGAACAGATATTTAAAAACTTGAGTTTTCTGTTTTAGTATAGCAAAGAAACAGTATATCCTATTGAATTAGTCCAAAACCATTTCTCCTAATTTTACCAGAACAGAGAAGTATATGGAAAAAAATGTTAATAATGAGTAGAAGCCAGCTAAAGTTAAGTATTTAGTTGGTGGATGATACATGTGCTGAGAACTGTTAATTCATGGTAAAACCCCCCAGAATAACTCTCTAAATGTGTTTTTTCTCTTTTAAATAAATAGTTTTTTATCTTCCCTGTTTAAAACAATGCTTACCTATTGCTGGAAGATTAAAAAGAAAAGAGAAAACCTCTCTAATATTTTTTGTTTTTGTTTTTGTTTTTTATTTGAGACAGGTCTCACTATGTAGTTGAGACTGACCTGGAACTCACTATGTAACCCAGGCTGGTCTCAAACTCACAGCGATCCTCCTGCCTCAGCCTCCTGAGTGCTAGGATTACAGGCGTGTGCCACCATGCCCAGCTAACCTCTCTAATCTTTATTCAGGTCGTGAGGAATTCTACAGTACTCATCCCCATTTCATGACCCAGAGAGCTTTGTATCTTGCGGTTTACGACCTCAGCAAGGGGCAGGCAGAAGTGGATGCCATGAAGCCCTGGCTCTTCAACATAAAGGTGAGCTGCTCGAATGCTTTGGAAAGAGAAAACCACTGTAGGCTTTTTGGTGTGTTCATAGGGTAATTTGTCTTGAGCAGACAATCGCTCCTATCTCTTCAGATATTTTCTTTTTAAGTTAGAAGAACTAAAAGTTTGAGTTGGACAGTTTTCAGAGTAAGAAAATTCTCATGCAAAAGTGTTAATATAGTCTCTTTTGGTGAACGTTATCCATACTGGAATCCTTTCACTCTGTAAAAACTCAAAACTATATTCTATTGAATTAATTTTGACCCTGCTACTTCTTAGATGGGATATAAGCCTTCGTTGTGTACGTATGTATGTATGTATTTATTTTGGTACTGCGGATTGAACTTGCGTCCTTGCACTTGCAAGGCAGGCAGCAGGACCGCTGAGCTAAATCCCTGCCCCCAAGCTCATGTAATTTAAAGTGAACCATACTAGAGAAAAGCAGTATGTACTTCACCAGTTATGTCCTCACTGGCAACTTAGGATGAAGCCCTTTGGATTGGAGCCTTAAACCCACCCCATCTCCCATTGCAGAAATATCTTTTTGTTGTTTATTTTCACCTTTGCCTTTGCTTTCCCTGCTGTCAGCTTCCCTCAAACAGTATGGCTTTTTAGATGAGACTGAACAGAGAGAGCATGCTCATTGGCCAGTGCTCCACTGAGCTCTTCCTTGAATGATGTCCTTAGGTTTGTGCCAGGACATCTCGGTGTGTAATTTGGCTGCATGCACACTTGTTTTACAGTCTGAGTGATTCTTTAAACTGTTTTGGACTTTATTAAATCTTTTACACAACAATGTGAGCAAGTATAACAATGGCAGTAATATTTGATTTAGTGGGTTTTTTCTTCTTTTGTAGATTCCAAATTGAGTTTAAAATAAATTCAGATTATATGCACAGATAAAGAGAAAAAGCATGAACTGTATTGTGTTACTTTGCTGTGATTAGGGGGCTTATTGAATGCTTATTTTATTTAAAGCACGTTTATCAAATGAGGAAGAAAAAGGGCCAAGAATTTAGCGCAGTGGTTCTGCTGCCTGCCTTGCAAGTGCAAGGTTCCGAGTTCGAGCCCTGATACCAAAGGGTGTGGGGGAGGAAGAAAAATATAAACTATATTGCTGCTTCACTATAATTTTGGGGTTCATTGAATGCTTATTTTGTTTGGAAGCACACTTAGCAAATAACCCATTTCAAACATGAATAGGAAAAGAAGAAACTATACTGTTACTGTGTGTAGGCCTCTTGAAAAGCGGTGAGAATTATATAAAGCGGGGGCACTACACGCCTCTTTAAAATTTTCTAAGACTACCCTTTTTTATGTTTCAGGAAATGTTTTGGTATATTCTGTGCTGCTATACCCAACCTGAGAACAATTTGGAAAGAACAAGACTTGTTTCATGTAGTTCTGGAGAGGCTGGCCCCTCATGGGCATTTTCTTGCTCTGCTCTTCCATGGAGCTGGTGGGAGGGCAAGAGGGCACACATGTGGAGGGGAAAGGAAGGGATCCTTCTCTCAGGAACCCACTTCTGGGGTGGCAGCGTTAATCCCCTCTGGTGGTCCCGCCTCAATACTCTTGCATGTGGGAATAAATTTCTAACACATGTTCTTCGGGGAACACAGACAAACCATGCCAGGAAGGAAAGCCACTTGTTTTTTTTTTTTTTTTTTTTTTTTCTTCAGAGTCTTGTAGGTTTTCCTTTGTGCTTAACTGGGCTTTCTAGAAAGAGATGTAAGCAGATACAATTTATTTTTTTAATTTTTATTTTTTTAATTATATATCGTGCTTTTGATACAAACAAATCTGAAACATTATGAACTGTACAGATTTGATCAATCTTTTTGTTTTGTTTTTAAACTAAATCTCTAAACACACCCATGTTCCATTCCAAAATATTGTACAACATTCTGAATACAGAATGCTTGATTGTATTCTTCCTTCACTAAAGAAAAAAAGGTTATTCCTCTGCTCCCCCAGCCCCTCTCCACAATGCCCCCTTCCCATCACCAGGGAAAAAACTAGAGAATCGAGTCACTGCATTGAGAAAAAACACCATTCTGGACTGACAGTGTACATTCTTGAAAAGATAATCCACTTCAAATTGTTGCTGGGAAAGAGGGATAAAACGGATGGGGAAAGGGCAGAAAAAGTTTTCATTGTCTTCTTTCTATTTTAAAGTTTGTTTTTTCCTGAAAAAATATTGGTTTTTCTCTTTTTAAGAAAAAATCTTGAAAAGAAAAAAATTACATTTTTTAACATTTCTTATGTTAGAAATACACATATATTATATATACCTGTTACATTTTAAAAATGAGGCAAATTATTCAATACAAACAGACACCCAAAATGTAAAAAAAAAAAAAAAAAAATTCCTACGAAACCAGGTAAATTAGTGCAGGTTTTTGTTTTCTTAAAAAAAATAAAAATTGAGGGGCCAGGGAGTTAGCTCAGTGGTTCTACTGCCTGCCTCACAAGCACAAGGATCTGGGTTTGATCCCTGGTAGCAAAAAAAAAAACTGGACCATTCTCAGCACAGGAAGCCACTAACTAAAAATGCTCTATAGAAAACTACTTGTAGAAAAACTAAAAGAAGAAAATAATACAAAACCCAAACCAACCAAATAAATCAGAGGCAGGCAGGAAGACAGTCAACGAGTTGAGTTTAACACGATCTGTTGCTCCGGGAGCCCGCTCCCATGCCACACCTGGGCTGGGTCCTTTTTGTTGACACGAGAGCAAGGAGACTGGCAATCTTTCTATACGCTTTTCTCTGCTTCTTTCTTGTCAGCCTTTCCTCGCCTTTCCTCTCTCCCGTTGGTGCTCTGGGCTGGTCTGGGGCCCGCCGGAGGTGCGTGGTCAGTTGGCAAGTACCACGGGCTGGAACGGCTGGCTGGGTACTGCATGGAACTCAGACTGTAGCTTAGGCCTCCACGAAGGGCGTCTTCTCCAGGAAAGGCTGTTGGGTCACGTCAAAGCTGCTGCTGTGGCAGGTGCTGGCCCCACCGCCCTGGCCATCAGCCCCCTCGCAGAAGAGGCTGGGCGAGCCACCGCCATTGTCCACGAACTCCTTGGCATGGGGCGAGAGCTGGGGCTGCGGCGCCGGGCTGCCACCTGCCCCGCTGCGGCCCGCACTGCCCCCACTCCATGCCCGGCCACCCTTCTAGTCATCTTGGTGGAGCCACATTTGGTGGCAGCAAAGGAAGCTGTGGCGATGGTGATGGGTTGTGCGGAGCAGGGTAGGAACGTTGGGCTGGGCGACTGGCCGAAGGGTGGCGAGGGGGCCTGGGCCCGGGAACTGTCCTGGCAAGCAGGTGCAATGTAAAGCAAACGCGAGAGTCCTCTGTGACTTCCCCACAGGCTCGCGCTTCTTCCTCCCCCGTGATTCTTGTCGGCACGCACTTGGATGTTTCTGACGAGAAGCAGAGGAAGGCCTGCATAAGTAAAATCACCAAAGAGCTCCTGAATAAGCGCGGGTTTCCTTCCATCCGAGATTACCACTTTGTGAATGCCACCGAGGAGTCTGATGCTTTGGCAAAGCTTCGGAAAACCATTATCAATGAGAGTCTTAATTTCAAGGTAATATGGTTGATGGCTACTGTAGCCTGGTGGATCTATCTATCTATCTAATTTATTAATTCTCACGTGACACTGTGGCTTGGATAGGTTAGAAGTCTTGAGAGTAAATATCTTAAAAGTCTGGGTTTTTCGTAAATCTTAGAATTAGCAAAGTACTTTCAACTTTAAAATTACCGATTTATGCAATACCTCATTTGTAATTCCTAGAAAAAAAGAATTTAAAAAACTGTAGGATCCCGAGAGAAACTAAGAGACTGTTTGTAGGACACCGAGAAAATATTTCAGAGATAGAAAATGCCAAGGGATGGAGATTTAGCTCAGTGGTTCCGCGGCCTGCCTCACCAGCACAAGGTCCTGAGTTCAATCTCTGGCAGTCCCCCCCACAATAAAAGAAAAATAATGCCTCCAACACCGTTCTGTACCAACTTCCTGTAGCGGTAATTCATTCAGAAGTATAAAGTGGATACTGAGGTCCGGAGATCTTCTTTTTTCTATGATTGTTTTGTCTCTTTATCTATCTGCTCTTTTCTTTGGGGGCTTCTGTTTTATACCTTTCTGAGCACTCCTTCATGTTTCTTTGCCCTATCATTTCCATACCAGTATCTTCCCTGAATATTGTGAGACAGCTCTCTCATTCAGTTGTGAAAACCGTTAATTTGGCTTTCAGCAATGTCTAAATAATTACTTAGGTCATACAAACTCGATGTTTTAATTTTAGGGCTTATGTTTTAAATTCCCAGAGTTCTCTTCTGGTAAGTAAGCCCAGTGTTTTTAAAGCACGAATTCATTGGTCCTCAGGGAAAACATTTTTAAATGCTTTCAGTAAACAGTATTGCCTGGACTCTTAATGGGAGCATGATGTAAACTGAAAGCATGCGGAAAGATGTGCTAGGTGGTTCAGAGTGGTGAATATCATGGTGAATTTCATGTAGTCTCAGTTGGCTTAACTCATTGGAACTAATGATCAAGATCGTGGTTTAGTAGAGTCCTCTTTAGCGTTGGCGTTCCAGAATAATTACTAATAGTGTCCCCCTCCACCTCAAAAGCATTCCAGTTTGGATGATAAATTGTATGGTTGCCCTCTCTGATTATAACTCTCCGTTGGCCAGTGAGTTTAGTTTGGTTCCATTGCCACAGATATGCTCATATCTAAACCTGACGAGTCATTTCAAACTGTATTGGTCTTTGTGGTGTCAAGGGAGAGAATGTGCTTGTGTCTTTCAAAGCACACGCGTTACAGTTGTTATAGTTCCTAAAAGGCCTTACTGATGGTGGGTTGGTAGTGGCATTTTGTAAAAGAAGAATGGCATTATGTACTTGAAGATTTTCCTACTCTCTGGTGGGACATAGGATTAACATGACTTTTTAACAAACAAACGTACAAAATTCATACATGCCATTAGTCTGTTTATCCAGGTAGTTTTCTTCTGAGTTTATACCTGTAAAGAACTACTACTTAGAATACATTAATAGTTGTTCATTTTGTCATTGCTGTCAAAGCAGGTATGGTATTTTTTTTTAAAGACCCCCATTTGGAAGATGAACTTGTTTTGAAAAAAGCTTGAATTTAATTAAAGCAAAGTCTATAGAAGAGGTGGTTGCTTCATTAAGATGGATTTCTACTGTGTTTATCTTCCAGCAAGATATCGCTATCAATCAGTAACACTAGGTTCCCTCTGGCATTTATAAAAAACTTGGAAGACAATTCTATGCAGGGGAGGAAAACTGTTTTTTAAAATGAAAGCATTATTTAAAGAAAGGTATTTTGCTAATAGATGCATCATTCCGGAATATTTTTTGAAAACCCACTGAACTAAATTGCAGACTAGTGACTCTTTCAGAAGACCCAGGGGCAGTGAGCTTATTAAAACACGAATGTCCTTTTCTCCCTTAGTCATCAATCTGCCTGCATATAGCAGCCTTTAGTCTGTTAGAGATCATCTTCTTTTTACCATGGTTCTTCTCTAATCTTTCCCTGACTGTACAGATTTTTTAGAGTACAAGTTTCGTTTTTCGGTTTTTGCTTTTTCGGCTAGCCTAGGCATCAGCTGAATATCAAATTAAAAGGAGATAGGGAGGTACAGGACAAAACTGAGGCCACTGCCAGCAGTACTTCCTCCCCACCTAATCAGCCCATTATCAGAGCAGGCATCTTCCCTGGCCCAGGGTCTCAGCCCTGCCAGATTCATCCCCTTTCCATTTGAGTTGCTTTCTGAGACGCCTCTATGTACGTTTATATGTGAATTTGCTTCCCTGTGTTAAGACATAAACTTTAAACTGAAATTCTATTTCATCTGAATTTATAAATCATAAAGATAAGGATATGCACAATGTTAGTTGAATTATACTTATTTTCTGGGGTGAGGGATACACGAAAACAATTTTTTTGAATGATTGCTTATAGGAACATAGAACTAATGGGTACGGCCATTGTAGATGAGGCTTTTTCTTGTTTTAGTTACTTGTAGGAAGATAGCAAGTTAAATTTTTGTGTTTGTGTGCCTGAATAAGACCCCGTTTCTATTTGTAATAAATTTAGCAATTTAACTAGAAATACTCCTAGGTACTGTCAGGTGAAAAGGATATATATAAAATCGCCAGAGCTCCAGAAATGGGGAGAGTTTGCCACCTGTTGGTTCTTGAAGGTATTTTTGTCTCTATTTGAGAGCTGTATTTCTATGTAAAATTGGATTTTCAAGGGACAAGTTTTGGAAAATATGTTGATTATAGATAACTTCATTTTAAGACCATTCTTTTAAAATCTCATCTCAGTTGATAGATAGTGATTAGATCGTTGGTGTTTAGATGATTTCTCATTTTCCCAGGTCCAACATTCCATGAGAAAACATAACTGGGTAAGAATTTTGTGTCTCCAGGTTTGATTGTTGATATTTACAGTCTTCCAACACAAAAAATTTCCTCTGGGTGTCTTTTTATCTAAAAGTATGTTGTTATACTTATCTTATGTTAACAGGCCTATTACACATCATGATCTTAATGTTTTGGAAAATAGAAAATCTTTTCATGGTGAGCGACTTAGTTTTTGCCATGGAATTTCTGGATAATTAGATAAATATTTCTGTGTTACTTTATTTGAAATTTCCATATGGGCCTCTGTGCCTATATTTTTCTTCAATTTCATCCTCTATTGATTACAATTCAGAGAGGCTTACATCATATTTTGATTTTATTAAAAGTATATTTCTGAATAACATAGTCATTTGTGTTAAAACAGCCCTGAACTTACCAACCACCTGACAATGCATCAATTAAAATAGATTTTTACAGCTTGTCATTGTAATTTCATAGATCCGGGATCAGCCTGTTGTTGGGCAGCTAATTCCAGATTGCTACGTAGAACTTGAGAAAATCATTTTAACAGAGCGCAAAACTGTGCCAATTGAATTTCCTGTAATTGACCGGAAACGATTATTACAACTGGTAAAGGAAAATCAGCTGCAGTTAGATGAAAATGAGCTTCCTCATGCTGTTCATTTCCTAAATGAATCAGGTTTGTGCGTTTGTTACATGTTTCTTTTTTTCAAAGTTTGGTTGTGAAAATGTCTCTGAGTTTTGTATAGAATCTATATTCAAAATTTAAAAGAATGTCTATGAAATTCTTGAGTAGGCCCCTGATTCTTTCCATTTTTGGAAGATCATAATGTTGAATCCTCCTCATGTCATAAGAAAATACACTTAGAAATCATCTAAGGACAATGCAGAAAAGAGTTCCTGAGCAGGAGTTAAAACATGTCAGTTTCAGAACATAGCTTTGCTGTGCAGGAGGTATAAAACCTTTACCACGGCCATATCTTTTCAGAGTATACAATGGATTTAATGCATGTGAAAGTTATTTTTTGTACCATCAAGGAGAATTATTACGATGGTTTAACTGGGCCATGTAGAGTTGACAGTTGTCTGAGAAAATACAGCTCCTGGCTGGCAGATCTCATTCTGTTGCTTTACTTATTGATCCCTTAGTGAAAACTCTCAAGCCAATCGCAGTGCTAATTGATCAGTTATTGCCTTGCTACAAATGTGAGAGTTAATTTTTTAATGCTAGAAGAACTTGTGGGGAAGCATTCTATAGTATGGAAACTATGTTCAGATGGATTATAACATATTCCCCTTTGCCTTTATTGTAACTCACATATGCTGAGATATGTTGTGTTTCTTATCTGTATTGAAAAGAAATTGCCAGGCTGGGAATTTTGCTCAGTGGTGCTGCTGCCTCCTGTCTTGCAGGTGCAAGGTCCTGAGTTTGATCCCCAATACCAAAAAAAAAGAAAAAAAGTTTTGTCTTTGTAGAGTACCTTTGGAAAGTAGCGAGAAAGTTATGAATTTCTGTTTTTTGTATGAATACATGATCTTCAGTGTATACCAGTACCACAAACATTCTTCTATGTGGTCAGTTTTCATAGTTCAGTGATTAGAATGTTAGAGCTGGGGACCTAGGCATCTCCTCTGGAGGAAGAGGTGGTTGAACTAGATTCGCTCTAGAATTTCTTGATATTTTTGCATTCCAGATTCCATGTTTCTGTGTTTGGTGATTTTTTTTTTATTACAGGAGTCCTCCTTCATTTTCAAGACCCAGCCCTGCAGTTAAGTGACTTATATTTTGTGGAACCCAAGTGGCTTTGTAAAGTCATGGCACAGGTTGGTGTCTTACATTTTGGGAGCCAGGGGTTGTGATTGAAGAGTGGGAAAGACAGCATCCGAGCACTGAGCATTTTGTTGTTTGTAGTATTTAGTTAGTGTGGCATCTGTTGTAAATATAGCGACCTGTGCAGTACTGCACACAGAAGGCTACTTGGAGAGTGTTGTGGAAGAAGGGAAGCTGTCTTGAAATTCACTTTCATGCCTTTCTTTCCAAGCCACACACGTCCGTACCACCTTTTTCTATGCTGCTCTTTTAGATCCTGATGCTATCTTTGGTTTGGTTATTAACTTAAATCAATTTAATGAAGGACTTGTGAAAATCTTTGAGGTGAACATATATGAAAAAAATTGAGTTGATGGGACCATGAAGGCCCTACCTAAGTAACATGAAGGGGATTTTTTTATTCTTAAGTGATCTGAGCTCCATCCCTATGCCTACATTTTTCAAAACTTCGGCAGGCAGTAATTATGTATCTTTTCTGCATTATGGAAGCATTTGATGCACATGGAAAATGATTTCTTTTCCCAATGATGGTCCATTACCAATGAGTTCATGTTTATTATTTATAATAATCCTTCCCTACAGGTTTGCCATGAAAACCCCTTGAGAAGAACTCAATAGTTTAGGAATTTTCAACTTTTGCACTATTGACATAATTCATTATAGAATGAGAGCAGTAGTTTTGGCCTGTGCTTTTTAGATGCTGGCTCTATCTTCCCAATTATGACAAGGGAAAGTGTGTCTGCACATTGCCAAGTAGTGCTGGGGTGCAAAATCACCCTCACCGAGAATCATGATGCCTCACATAATCATGAACCAAGGTGAGAGGGTGCCTCCAGCCTGTGAACCCACTGGCAGTTAATGTGTCGTTAAACACACTTTATGGTTTTGCACTTGGCTCCTAATGCCTGAAGTGATTATATATTTATATAATAGAAATATGGCTTCCAATGAGAACATAATACTAATTAAGTTCCCTCTAGTGATCTTGCATACCAACTCCTGAATTCTTTTTAAGATAATAAGGGAGAAATTTTGAGAAGCGAATGCAGTCGAGGCTCACTCCTATCCCATGGCACTGGAGAGTGTATGGAAACATTATTGTAATTGGCATTCAATTGTAATTATCATTTTTTACTATTTTGCTAGATATTTTAAATTAGATGTTTGTCCTGAACATGTGCCATGGAAGTGGGATTTTACTTACTTATTAAATTTTATTAAATTAAATTTTACTTATTAATTAATGGAGCCAGTAGAATAATGTGAACAATGGTGCATGCTCTACATTCAGCTTGGCCTATATTTAAATGTCTTTCAGATACTTGCCACTTTTCTAACATTTCTTTAAATTTTAAGCCTTTATTTCTTCAATTATAAAATAAAGATAGTAAAAATACTCCATCTTGCCTTCCCAGTTCAGTATAAGTGACTAGTAAATGTTAACTCATTTTATGTTTGATCTATGTGGTAATTGAAGGTATGTTATTTTAAGAAATTAAAAAAACTTTGGAACTATAAAGATGTACTCATAGGGTTTGCAAGTACGTCAGGTGTGGAGTCAAATAAAAACTACATGTAGGAAGATACATCCTGTTCAGCAGAGGGACTATTAAATATACCCTGAAGCATTTCTTGTACACTGCAGTTATCAGAAATCCTTATAGGCAAGACAGGGCTGCCGGGCGTGGTGGCGCACACGTGTAATCCCAGCATTCGGGAGGCTGAGGCAAGAGGATCACTGTGAGTTTGATACCAGCCTGGACTACAAAGTGAGTTCCAGGTCAGCCTCAACTACCTAGTGAGACCCTGTCTCAAAAAACCCAAAACAAAGCAAAAAAAAAGACAGGGCTAACAATACTACCAAAGTAATATTTTGTATGTGACTTTGAAACCTTTGAAGTTGTACACAGTGTCGATATTAGGGTGCGCACATCTTATTTAGTAGAATATGCAAGAGTTTTGCATAAAGGGCCATCCTTTTAGGACAAAAACATTTTCACTGTGATTGAAACAAAATTTCTGATGAGTCTATGGAGTAATTAAGTTGAAACTCTTAAGGTCTTTTTATTAGCAGAGTACAGATATGCTAATTTAAGTGAAAATTAAATACAAAATTTGAGGGTTGGGGATTTAGCTCATTGGTTCCACCACCTGCCTCACAAGCACAAGGAACTGAGTTCGATCCCTGGTGCAAAAAAAAAAGAATTTGAGTAACCCAAATTTATTTTGAAATGTCAGTAAAATAGTTTAAATTTTTTATTAACTTAAAAAAAAAGACCATCATTTTTATGTATGTTGATAAATTGAAATATAATGTTATTTTCATTTAGGCTTACAGGGAATGGAAGCTATAAATAACCAATTGACCAGACTTGTTTGCCACCTATCAGCAAAAATAAATAGTGGTATTCACCCTCCATGAATCACCAAGAAAAGGGCAGCAACAATTTCATGGTGCAGAAACTCTAATGAGCCCACCTACTTTCTGTGTGCCCTGAGATGTTAGGTCACTAAACTCATTAAAGAAGATTGAGTCAAGGAAGGGAGAAGTTTGCAGAACTCATTTAGCTGTATGATTAAAAAAATATGAAACAGACCTATTGAATTAATCATGTGGGGCAGTAACAAGCTCTTGATAAAAATACATGGGAAAATATAGAGGAATTTTAAAATAAGGGCATAAATTAGCCATACAGTTTGTTTAAAAAAGCAGATTATCAAACCTCCTCCAGACTTACAGACCCTACAAGTAGAATCCAGTAGTAGGGGTCAATAGGTTGAAAGAATATGAAGTCTTCTAAAGACTTCTAAAATTAAGATAGCATTTCAGATTTTATTGCTAGGTAACAAGCTACCCCTAACTTGAAGGCTAAAAACACTAAGAATTTATTATTTCTCACTCTTCTGTGGGTAGACGGTGTTCAGCTAAGAGTTCTCCTTCTCACAGTGTGGGCATGGTTCATCCACCGGGCTTTGTGCGTGGAGCCAGGCTGAAGTCCAGGGAAGCCACACTCACATTTTTTGGTAGAACTGGTTCTCCTCAAGTGGCCTCCCACGTGGTTAGGTTGGGACCTCCTGTAGCACAATGATTACAGGGTAATTAAACATCTTTCATGGTGGCAGGCTACCAAGAGAAAGAAATGAGAAATTGCCAGTCCTCTTAAAGGCCAACATTAGAACTGACAAAACATTTATTCAGTATTTACCACATTCCAGATAGTGTTCTTGTGCTGGGGTTATTTTGATGAATAATATAAATTACAAAATATACATGACTAATAAAGAAGGGCTTATTTATTTAATATATGCTAAAAATTCTCATATGTTCGATGCATGATTTACACTTATCTTTTTCATTATGGCAGACAAAGAGGCAGTCACTATTATTATATCATTTTCCAGAGAAGGAAACTGTGCCTTCAAGAAATCAAATATTTTTCCCATAGTCTCACAGCTGGTAGAAGAGCCTGGATTTGAAACTAGATTCTTCTAATCCAGAGTCACATTCTTAACTGCTATGACAAAGCTCAAAGTAAGGTCTGTGTGCTAGAATCATCTAAGGTGTTTTTTAAAAGAGCGGATTCTTACGCCACACCCTAGGCTTACTGACCGAACTTTGCAAATGTAATCCAGCAAAATTCAGCAGTTGCCTTGAGGATCACTGCCCTGTACTGTACAGCTTCTCCTCACATTGAAGAAAACCCTCTCCAATTATACAAATGTTAAGTAATATTCCTAACGCAAACCTGTAGTAATAACAGTCTGGAATATAATTTCCCTAGGGATACGTTAGTGATGAGATTGCAATGTGAATGTAGCAAATTGGATTGATCTGTTCATTGGAGCTAGGGAAATCTTGAGGTTCACTATTTTCAGAGGATCCTGGTAAATTTTGATCTGAATTCTCTTAATTTAACTAATGTTTTCTGAAGATGGATGGCCTGCTAGGCTTTTAGTCTACCCAGTTGCTAGGGAAATTAGGTCCTATGTTGTACTGGACAAATTGTCCTGAGCAGTTTCACTGAGCACAGAGCTGAAAAATGCTTTAAATTTGAAACATTTCAGAAAATGGATCCTAGTGATTATTTATGAGTTTAAATCTTTCAGATTCTGACAGTAAAAGTGGAAGGCTGTCCAAAATATCCTAAGGGAATCATTTCACGTAGAGATGTGGAAAAATTTCTTTCAAAGAAGAGATTTCCGAAGAACTACATGACACAGTACTTTAAACTCCTAGAAAAATTTCAGATTGCCTTGCCCATAGGAGAAGAATATTTGCTGGTTCCAAGCAGGTAAAACAAACTTTAAAAATTTAATTTCTGGCAATTCATTGTATAATATATTAGGTTAATTGTTAAAGTAACTTTGATGTGTAATAGATGCAATACATATTTTTGCCTGGTTTTATAAACTTTTTACCAAAGTACAGCAGATGCTTTTAATGAACACATTGCATTTGACACTTTGAGGATATGGTAAATGGCTTACTTGGTCTATGTGATTTTTGTGTGGCTTACCAGTACTTAAATTATTTAAGAAAGGTAAATAGTGAAGAGGTGTGTGTGTGTGTGTGTGTGTGTGTGTGTGTGTTTGTGTGTGTTTGTGTATGTGTCTTTATCCTTACATGCCAATGAGAAAGTGATATTAGGGAAGTCCTTGAGAAATACAGTAGTGGGTTTTCAACAGTCTCAGAAGAATTCATGACATACTATTGCAGACCTCAGCTTTATCCCCGTATTGTGGAAATTTTTTCTTATTGCTTTATAAGCAACTAGGATGTATTGTAAAGGAACACAATGTTCAAAATTCAAACTATATCGATTGGTAGACAAAGGCCAAATATAAAACCAGATGTAACATATTTTTCTAGCACATGTATCTTTTCAAGATTTATATAATCTTAATATTTGACTGTGCATAACTACTTACAATAATTAGTGTATATGAGTACTGAAAAGAAATTTTGTGCATCTACTACATCTGAACATGCATTTGAATTTATTAAATGACCATTGATTGTTTTTATATGAAGAGGATATAGCAAAAAATATTACCAAAAAAGTACGTTTTCTCAGAATAATTAATTTCATTGATTTCAAACAGTAAAGCACTTCTATCAATGTGGTTGGGTGTTTCTGGAGTTATATAATTACAGTGTTCTTTTCTTTTTAGCTTGTCTGACCACAGACCTGTGATAGAGCTTCCCCATTGTGAGAACTCTGAAATTATCATTCGGCTTTATGAAATGCCTTATTTCCCAATGGGATTTTGGTCAAGATTAATCAATCGGTTACTTGAAATTTCACCTTACATGCTTTCAGGAAGAGGTATGTATTTAATGAAGGCACTATTTAGAGAATTTAGGGAGAAAAATATTAATATGTTTACTTGTTTGGGAGGCTACTGAATTAGAAAATAAGTCTATAAAACCTCAGAGTAATCTTCAGAAAGATACTCAGGCACATTTAAAGTGGTGCATTTTATCTAGAAGAAAACCCCTCTGCTCTTTACTCAAGCCCATTTGTTCCTGTTTTAGACATATTTCTAACAACTAAGAACATCTTGCTTTCCAAGCCACTGCAAACAGGAGGCAATAATTTTAAAAGGAGCAATTTCTGGAAGCCATTGATTTAAGACACACGTGCACACACACACACACCACACCACACATACCAAGGAAAAAAGAGACGACCACTGCCTGATGAGGGGGCTTTTATTCAACAGATACAATAGGACCTCGCCCATTCAGGGTGTGGACTGTAATATGTCCATTATATTGCTGAATACCTGAGAGGTTTATAGACGAGAACAACAAATGGCTGTGTCTAACATTAGCTTTTAGTTCTAGAATAAAGAAATGTCTTAATACTCCAAAACAATACCATTTTTTTTTTGAGACAGGGTCTCACTATGTAGTTGAAACTGACCTGGAACTGACTGTGTAGCCCAGGCTGGTCTCGAACTCACAGTGATCCTCCTGCCTCAGCCTCCGAAGTGCTGGGATTACCATTTTTTGTTTTTAAAATAGCTGCACACAAGTGTTACTGGTTTATGAAATAAACTTTATCTTGCTTGGAATTAGTCAACTGACAGTTACAATGTGTTACAAAGTTCAGGAATCACCTTTAATACCAAAATTACAGGAACTTATTTATGACTCTCTTTACTCATGTATTAGTCATGTTAAACTACTTACTAGCACAGATCTGAATTATATTTTAGGTAATCTATGGGACATTTATTTTATTGCAAAATGAAGGAATAAATATTTCATATAATATTTACATAGATACGAATTTACATAGATATCTCTATCATGAATGACCTAATCCTCTCCTTTAAAACAATTCTGTTTGTGTTACTATTACTTGTGGAGTGAGCAGCAGGTCTTTTCCTTGTGTAGAAGGGAAAATTAATGGACACGTCTGGATCCATTCAAATTTCTTTCAGAACGAGCCCTTCGCCCGAACAGAATGTATTGGCGACAAGGCATCTACTTGAATTGGTCTCCTGAAGCTTATTGTCTGGTAGGATCTGAGGTCTTAGACAATCAACAGGAGAGTTTCTTAAAGATTACAGTTCCTTCCTGTAGAAAAGGTAAGACAGTTAATTCAAAACTTCACATTGTCCTTCTAAAGAAATCTAAATTAAAAAAAAACAAAACCAAACTTTGCAGAGTTGGATGTGATGCCATATGGCTGTAGTCCCAGCTGAAACAGGAGGACCGCTTGAGCCCGAGAGTTCGAGACCAGTTTGGGCAATGTAGTGAGAAACCCTATCGCAACAAAACAAAATAAAACAAAACACAACTTTTCGGTTTCTCTTTTCAGGCTTTGTGGTAGCATGAGGTTGATGAGCTTTCCTTTGAATTATTAGGCTGTATTCTCTTGGGCCAAGTTGTGGACCACATCGATTCTCTCATGGAAGAATGGTTTCCTGGGTTACTAGAGATTGATATTTGTGGTGAAGGAGAAACTCTGTTGAAGAAATGGGCGTTATATAGTTTTAACGATGGTGAAGAACATCAAAAAATCTTACTTGATGACCTGATAAAGAAAGCAGAAGAAGGTATGCAGTGACACAGCTTACAGATATTTTACCGTGATCCTTCACTATCTGTAAAGTGACTTTTATAAATTAAAATAATTCCTATCCATAAAGCAGGAGGTAAAAGAGTGCATTCCATTACAGTGTCAGTTCAGAACGATGTACTTATTCCTAGTAGGATCCTGTGTCCTGTGTTCTGAATTTGAGGATTTGAATACTGGCACCTTGAGTAATCTCATCTGTGAAATGGGGACGCTAAGTAAACCTATAAAATTGTTAAGGAGATTAAAATACATCAACATGTGCAGATAACATCTGTGCATATGACATGTGTTTTGCAGATGTGGTGAAAATAGAGAATAAATAACTCCCTAGTCAGATGTCATGTGGTCAGACGCTGTTCTGAATTCCATTACTGAATAAATGAACCTTGGAATGAGTTTTTCAAATTCTGAGTAGGTTGATGTCAAGTAGACTTTTAAAATTTTTCTCACATTTTCTTGAAAAATCTAGAAGTGATAAAAATAAACCCTGAGTGATAAGAAATGATACAAATGGGTGATTGTTTTCTAAGTCAAATCCATAGATTTATGTTTATGTATTCTTTTTCTTTAAAAGAAATCTTTTTTACTTCTCAGGAGACCTCTTGGTAAATCCATATCAACCAAGACTCACAATTCCTATATCTCAGATCGCTCCTGACTTGATTTTGGCTGACCTGCCTAGAAATATTATGTTGAATAGTGATGAGTTGGAATTTGAGCAAGCCCCAGAATTCCTTTTAGGTAACTTTTTGTAAATTTGAGAAAAAAATTAGGATGCAATATCTTTTGTATAATTTATATATTGTAATCACACTGTCAGAGGGGTTTGATGTCTTCATGTAGTTGATACAGTGTTTCTCATTTGGAATGATGTATTTTAAAGTAGTCTCAGGTAACAGATCTGGACTTGGCTTTGCACGTTCACATAGATGAGGATTAAGTTGAGGAAGGGACTGTGTGGGAGCACAGATATATGTGAAACATCATTACACTTGCTGTAGTTGCCTGGGCATGGGTGAGGCAAATAAGAAGACTTGCGGCTGAGTGAAGTGACTTAGCCATTTCTCATCTCAGAAAGAGAAAAAGGGCCAGGGATTTAGCTCAGTGGTTTCAGTGCCTGCCTGCAAGCTCAAGGGCCTGAGTTCAATCCCTGGTACCCTGTCCAGGCACAGTATCAGTTTTATGACTCACAGGCCAATACCAAATTCTCATAAATTACTATGGAATTAAAAAAATCAGAAGTGTTAAATTGGTTACATACTCAAGTTGTACTCTGTATTGTTACTGTTTACTGGTGTTGGGAACAGTTTACGTTTATTGGCTGGGACCGTGCTGTACACCTGTGAGTTTCTACAGTGCGTCGTGGAATCATTGGATTCATGGAGCCTTTTCAGGTGTTCACTGAGAGAAGGTGAGGGCACAGCAATCACGTTCCAGTATTCTCATTCCGTTCTCTCGCTGTACCTGGGTCTTGAGGCTTAAAAAGATGTTTTCAAGAAAACTGCATAAAGTTAAGAAGTTGAACAGATTTACACATTATAATTAATTTTCGAAAGAAGCAGTCAGCGTGTGTTAAGTCATATATCTTCCTGTGGTCCTTCTGTGGCTTCCCACCTCCAGAATACAAGCTAATGTTTGTGGAGTGCCTCTGATGCTCTCTATTCTGTCCTCTGGTTACTCTATTTAAAATAAGTTTTCCTAAAATTTGCCTTTTAAATTTGCAGGTACAAATTACACGCACACAGGCACACACACACATGATGTTTTGTTATAGGTACACATTATTGCCTAATCTATGCGAATATAATATTATTAGCAAAATGTTTCCAAAATTCGGGGAATGACATAGAAAACCAAACCTTTGTTTGTCACATCGATTGGGAAGTTTAGAGTGAATGCAACTAGTGCTTTGGAACTCTAGAAATGATTATGTTAGTAATAGTGAGCTAACACAAAATGCAAAATTTTCAGTGCCAAATCCTACATCTTAACCAACACCAAACTTGGCTAATTTTTCTGAAGATACAGACAATACCAGACATGGTGTACGCTTTCTTTGAAGACGTCCCAAACCATCAGCCATGGCTCCCCAAAATATGTCCTTTGAGACATGTTTCAGATTAAGACAGGTACTGAGCAGTTCATGAAGAAACAGTGTTCACAAAAATCTATTTTTGAAGCAGCTCTTTTTTATATTTCATCAGTTACACAGACAGGTACATTTTTTCTTAGAAGGGTTACTTTTCTGGGGAACCATAATAGACAGTGTGATTTGGTAGGATTAGAACGGTTCCCTTGCCTTCAGTTTCTTCCTAGTAAGATGTCGCAAGTACACAACAGCAGTTCCTAATCTGAGTTTGGTTTTGGTCACCTGAGGGACACAGCAGTCCATACTCTGTATTCATATGACACTGGTTGCAAACATGAGTCTCTACTCTTCCCTGAAATTTTAGTCTTGCTCCCTCTATGTGTTTCTTCTCTCTGCCCTCATAAGGGTTCTCTTTATGGTTTTTGTTTTGTTTTGTTTTTTGTTTTTGGTACCAGGGATCAAACTCAGGACCTTGTACTTGCAAGGGGAGAGAGAGAGAGAGAGAGAGAGAGAGAGAGAGAGAGAGAGATCCTAGTGAGCAATACTTCACAGGACTAGTTTGATAAGAATCTTTGAGCCCAGACATTAGTATTTTTTGAAAAGCTCTTGACAGAATCAGTTCAGCCAAGACTAGGAGGAAAAGTGTGTAAGCCTAGAGAATGAGACACAGAATGAGAGGCCAGCTAGAAGAGGAATTCAGGGCTACATTTGAACTGGGTTGGATTTAGTAGGTTGTGTGCAATGATTTGGCTTTGAGCAGATTGACACAATCAAAGAGGAATTTTAGGAGCATTAATATTGTGGGAGAGAGAACACAGCAGTGGTGGTAGTGAATTCAAGACCCTCTCCTTCCCCCACCATTCTGTCCAGAGGCCACTGAGGGGACCGGAACAGTGTGGCGGGGAAACTGGGAAGAGTGTGAGCCCGAGCGAGGCTGCTTGTTGGCTGTGGGTGGGGAATGGGCAAAGACTCAAAATAATTCTCTTGTTTTAACTCCAGAAGTCATTGAAAGAATTTTATTTTATTTTTTATTTTTTGGAATCGAACTCAGGGCCTCACATTGCCAGGCAGGTGCTGTGCCACTGAGCTACATCCCAGGCCCAGAATTTTATTTTGTTTTGATATATGGAGGGGGGAATAAAACCTCATTCAGAGAAAAGATGGTGAGTGTGTCTGATGGAGTGTGACTGAGATTTGGAAGCCCACAGCCAGGGGGACTCACAGGGACAGCACTTAGGAGGAACCCCTAAGGGAGATGGAGGTTCTCCACAGGGGGGAGTGGATGGAGGTTCTCTACAGGGGGTGCCATGGCAGTGCAGGACAAGTGCAGTGGAAAGATGGAAGACTGGGCACAGGATATCCAGGTGTCTGTGTTTGCAGATACCTAAGAAGGAAGGGGAAACATGGAAAGAACTTGATTCCATGAAACACATGGTATGCTATTTCTTCCAGTATGCAACAGATAGAATTACAAGAGATAGCATTCACTTGCTTCTTCTGTATGGGAAGATAAATTTAAGTGTTTTTGTGTTTTGTTTTGTTTTTCTAAAGGCGATGGCAGCTTTGGATCAGTTTATCGAGCAGCCTACGAAGGAGAGGAAGTGGCTGTGAAGATTTTTAATAAGCACACATCACTTAGGCTGCTGAGACAAGTAAGCAATCCAATAACAACATTATTATATCAAACTGTTCCCGGATGAGGGTTTCAGGGAGTCCTTAGTGTCCTGAACAAAGAACTGACAAGCCACACAGAAAAAACAGTAAGGCTGTAGGTTTCTGGAAGGTAGAAAATAAAGTATACCTCACAGGCAGAAGGCTCGTAGCAGCCCCAAAGATAAAGGAGAAGGAGCTGCAATATGCAAAATATCTAGGTTGGTCCTCATCTCATGTAAATATAGCATCAGGACAATTGTCCTTTCAAAAACTCACTTGGCCTCTCACCTAAAATTAAAATGTCATATGGAAAAATGTGCTTGGTCTCTTGCCCTATATAAATGAAATATCAGGACAATGTCTTTTGATTGGTCATGCCCATATGTAAATGAAGCACTAAAAATAGTATCTTCTGATTGGTCTGGTGAACAGTGTTGGGAACAAATCAAAGATGAGAAATAGTGCTTTTTTGGTTCCTCCCTTCAACAGTGCGCACAGGCCATAAGCCTGGAGTCGTTGTGGGTCCTGTGATCTTCCCATGTCTTCTCTATTCAGGAAACATTTCACCCAGCCTGTTAGCCATGGGTTTTTATGACTTCTGATGCATTCCACCTGGTTGGTTGTCCAGCTTGCCCCAGCCCTGATCCTCTACCTCAAAATCATACATTGTTAATTTCCTGGAACTCTTAATTTTTTTTGCATGCAGTTATGAAAATGCAAAATAGTAACCACATTTCCCTCCAAAGTTTAATTATGAAACTCCACTTTGCCTTTAATGGAGTAAAATCTTTTTCCCTGCTTAAAAGACAAAGAGAAGATGGCATTTGGAAAACAGTAATTGTAGTACTCAAGTCTGATGTAAACTATGGGGAGAAGACTCACATTTCATCTGTTATTGTAGAACCTTGATGCGCAAAATGTGTTCCCTGGCTGAGGAATTGGCCATGCTCTGTGAGCTGGTTAGAAACGAGACTCTTGCACCTGTCAGGGGTATGCTTCTGTCCATGGTATTCTATAGTAGTCAGACTTAGAGTTTGTGCCTGGTCCAGGCCCAGATGCCAGCAAGTTCCTGGCTACAGGTCTTGTTTTTCACAGAATCTTTATCTTTCATTTTTCTGACTCAGAGGCATAATGGTTTTTAGTTTTAGTAAATACGGCTCCTCTACATTCAGAGTAAAAGCATTTTAAAGCATGACTTCACATTGCTAATTTGAGCAGAGGTCAGAAATCTGAAACTGAAACTAATTAACTTGTGCCCTTCTTTTTTTAATCCATCAACTTTAGAAAGAACTTATCGATTCCCTATTACAAAAGATGGGTCAAGTTAGGACAGTTTGTTTCCCAAATTTTTCAATTTAAAATCAGTTATATTAGTTTTCCTAATATAGTAAGAATTATAACTTGAAATAATAAAACTTTTAATTTTTAGTATACCAACACTAGATAGTGTTGTTTTTTGAGGTGAAGAAAATTATCATTATTCTTTTTTGTCCTCTTTCCAACCCTCTCCTAAATTCTAGAGTTTACTGTTATTTTTATATGGATACATTTTATGACATTTATATTCTACTTTGTCATTATAATTAAATTGTTTGCCTTTTGCCTGTAGTTTGTTTGTAAAACAAAACCAATAAATACCTTTTATATTTGACTTATTTGTATAGAAAGTATTTCTATTCTTCAGTAAGGAAAATTAACCTTCTCTTACTAGTCTTTTTTTTCCCTACTAGATTAAGAATATTCCAAATGTCAAAATCAAGTAGATTATTTATTATTAAGTGTTTATCATCAATTGAGATAAATAGGGCCTTCTTTTAATTTGTTTCATAATTATATCCTGATTTTTTTGTGTCTTTTTGAGCTATTTGGACTTTCTGATAATCTATTTAACACGGTGAGAGGAAAGATATACCTTCTATTGTGGCTTTCTTAGTGTCTTAAGTTCTTATCAGATAGCTTATATAAAGCAGTCGGTTTTCTTCCTTCTTTTGCTCATGATTTCCTACTCTAAGCAGGCGAGACAGATTTCCAAGCTATTTACAGAGTTTTACAGATTTGTTTCCCTCATCCTCCTTGATAGTTTTTGAATTCTGTGACTCTTATAGCTGAATTGTCATTACATTTTGTTGGAAACTATCTTTAAGTAATTTTTTTCAGAAAGAGTGCTTTTGAGGTAATTTGAGGTTATGGTTTTTGTTCTTACATCATAAAATCATCTGAATTTTTCTCTTCTACTTGATGGATATGCTATTGTAGTTTTTAGAAATCTGGGCTTGAAATAATTTTCCTTCAAAATTTGTAGAAAATTCCATTGATTATTTTAGTACCTGCTGTTGGTAACAAGTAGCCTGATGTCAAATACTTTTTCTCATATAGGTTAACTTTCATTTAAAAACTAAAAATGTAATCTTTTAGATTTCTGTTGTCCTTGATATTCTGAAACTTGACAAATAAGTTCATGAGGCACTTTCTTGATTTTGCTTTGTTTGGGGCAATGTTTCACTATGTAGTCCAGGATAGCCTTGAACACAAGGCAGTCCTTCTGCCTTAGCCTCCAGAGTGCTGGGATTACAGGCATGTGCCACCACGCCTGGCCCTATTTCTGATCTATTGTATAGGAGTAGTCACTAGAAGTGAGACCCCTGGCTCTCTAGAGTTTCCTCTTAAAGCTTTATCTGTAATTTCAGTGAGTTTATATGGCTATCTCTTACAGTTTTTTACTTATCAGTATTGCCTCTTTTTACTATTCAGCTTCTTACTGAATTTTGTTTTGATAACCATAATTTTAATTTCCAACAGTTTTCCCTTCCCTGCCATATTTTTAGATGAGATATCATCAACAATTTCTCTTAATATCAATTAGAATTTAGTTGCTTTAATTATACGCATGACAAGTTTCTCTGGGGTCATTTGTTTTGTGGGTCCATCCTAGTCTTTCTCTTTTATGCCATTGGTTTTCCACTTAGGATATTTCTGATGACTCCACATATCTATGAATGATCTATATTGGCTATTAAGGGATTGTTCTGATTATTAAGGTAACTAGAAAAGGTATTCTTTTCAATTTTTTAGATTTGTCTGCTCTACTTACCATTCTGAAAAGGTAGATAGACTGAACTCTTACTTGGGTGGGCATTATTTCTGGCTCCTTTTTATTTGGGTAACATGGGGAGGAACTCTAAAGTTCTGATAACCGCTTCCGGAGGTGCTGTGCCTTACACCGTCCCCTGCCTTAGTGCTGCATCATTTTTCTCTCTTTGGTCTTTTGACAAATTCTAGATGTTTCACTCTCTGTCCTGCCATTTCTTCCAAGCTTGAAGATCTTTCACAGTGAGTTTCATCTGATAAATTATCTTTACTTTCCATCTTTGAAAAATAAAAATCACAGAGTTGCTCACTATTGAGTAGATTTAATTCGTTGGCTCTGGCCAATTTCTTTGTAATTCCTTTAAGCAGTATGTATTGGTTTGATTCTGTCAGGATGGCTGTTCTCGTAGTAACACGGGTCCTAGGCCTCCCAACTGTGTATCACAAGCACAGAAGACAATAAAGTCCCTCGTTTAAAATCTTGTATTTCAAAGGAGCCAAAATTCTGTCCCAGTAACTTATTAAGTGAAAAAGAAACAACTTCTCTTGGCCTCAGTTGAGTCAGTGTTGGTTTCTAAACAAGCATGGCTGTTAAGGGCAGTGCTGTGTGCTGATTGGCTTAGCGCTGTGATAGTGAACCAGTCACAGTGCAGCGAGGACGGATCACTTGGATTATCCCCACCTTTCTCCTGAGTCAGCTGCCCCAGAGGTCCATGGGTTGCATGTGTGAGGGTTCATTACCTCAGAAAAAAAGAAAGATGTTTTCAGGAGGGAAGATGGAAATGTACGACCAACAGTGCTCACTGAGGTTCTCCTTGTCTTGGGCAGTGCTGGGATTTAGTCCTTTTTTCCTTTGTCTCTACTGACAGAAATAGGGTAAGGGAGAGAAATAGGGTGAGAAAGAAGTAAAGATCAGGGCTCATTTTGCTATCTTTTTCCAGAGTTCAACTATTCATCCTCACTTTTCCCCTTGATTTTTTTTTTGTACGACCAACAGTGCTCACTGAGGTTCTCCTTGTCTTGGGCAGTGCTGGGATTTAGTCCTTTTTTCCTTTGTCTCTACTGACAGAAATAGGGTAAGGGAGAGAAATAGGGTGAGAAAGAAGTAAAGATCAGGGCTCATTTTGCTATCTTTTTCCAGAGTTCAACTATTCATCCTCACTTTTCCCCTTGATTTTTTTTTTCTTTTTGATTTTTTGAGACAGGGTCTCACTATTTAGTTGAGATGGACCTAGAACTCACTATGTAGCCCAGGCTGCTCTCAAACTCACAGTGATCCTCCTGCCTCACCCTCCCGAGTGCTGGGATTACAGGAGTGCACCACCATGCCTGGCCCCCTTGATTTCTTAAAAACAAAAGAGATCTTTGTGACTGGATCTACGTAATCTTTGCACACTTCACAAAATACGTAGCTATAATATTTTCATTATTCTGAGGAATGAAGAATTTCATGTCTACAGAAAATATCCCAGGAAAATTTTGATTATGAGTAACAAAAGTCACACTGTAGTTCTAGAAATAAAATGAAACATTTTGTATGTTGAAGCAAGTCTGTGAACAGAACCTGGCACAGTCTCTTTTAATCCATGAGTAATTTGTTGTATAAATTGATTTCCTAGCCTTGTTATTAATCTCCAATTTACATTTCAATTTTATGAAATGTGTTTGAGTAACTCTGATGGAGTCCAAAACACTATAAACATACGCAGAGCTGGTTGCTACTTAGGCAGATAGGCAAACCAGGAAGAGGGTAGACGAAATAGGAAAAGTAGAATGCACATAATGTACTTCTTAAAAAAAAATGACAAAGAATACCATTTTGGTGTTCAGTCCTGCATTTCTGAAGGTCGTCCTACCAGTGGCAATGAATTGGTAAGGGTCTGTTACCTACTCTTGCTCCTCTTTCTAGAATCAGTGAGTGGCTCTCCCGTTGTAGAATATTACATTAAGCATATGATTGGCTGTGGAAGTAAACAGAGCTAACTTGATTTATTCTCATGAGTTTTAACCAACTGAGCTCATCAGACATGGGGGATCCACTAAGCTAATGTGACTTCAGCCTGCAGCTTTGTTCTTGGACAAACTCTCAGGGGTTCAGCCTTTCTTCAGCCTGCAGAGGCTCCCCATTTCTGTTTCCTGACACATGCTGTTGGCACAGATACTCTGCATCTTTAAAGCAGGTCTGTGGCAATCGCAGCTTGAAACGTGGATCTGTTTCATATCACAAAAAGCTATACATTCCAATTAGTGATGGTTTCAGAATAAACTAGAATATATAGAATAAAGTACATATGGAATTCAAAAAATACCACCATAAAAGAAATTGTAGTTTTATGTAATATAGTCTAGAAGGATAGATTTCTAGAAAATGACGATTTCAATTAAATTATAGTTTCACAGTTATGGGGAATATAGAGAACACAGTGAATATGGAATCCAAACAACACGGTGTCATTAAGGGGACTACACAGCTTCACTTGATGAGGTCTAGAGAAAGGGTGATGTCCGATGGAGACCTCCGTTCCATCTGCAGTGGTGTCTCTACTTCATGTTGTAGCTAAGGGACTCCTTTAGGAAGGGGTCCACTGCAGGGCCTTCAAGGAAGGTCAGATCGAATGGCAAGGAGTCCCAGTCATGTGAACAGTGAAGAGATTTCTAGCCGGAGGGGTCAGTTGAAGCAAAGATCCTGCAGCTGGGAGTTTCTGAGCATGCACAGGGAGTTTGACACAGATGAGTAAATGAGGAGGAGTAAGAAATAAAACTGGGCCTGGGGCCAAGTCAGGTAAGGTCACCAGGCCATGGAAATACAGGGGATCCTAATCCAAGAACAGTGCACATCGTTAGAGAGTTTCAAGGTGGAAGGATACCATATATTTCTGTGGAGTTAGGCATTTTTCTCAGTAAATTATTGCAGGTATCTGTGGGAGACAGGTTTTACTCCTGGTGCCAGTTTAAGTTGAATAGCAGTGACTTCAGAATCCTGAGTTGAGTCAGCTTCTGTGGCCGCCTAGAGCCTGGTAGATAAGCTTGGCGTGGCCTGTTAGTATGACCACATGTGTGTACTGGCCCTGAGTCTAATGTGCTGGTAACAGCAGAGCAAAAATAAATACTAAGAAAAACAGAACTTAAAACTTTAATTCCAAGAACAGTTTCAGAAGTAGGTACTGTTTATTGAAAATAGTGAATGTATTTTTAAAAATTCAAAATAGAAACAGGAAGTTTTGTGTAATCTAGTCACGCCAGAGAAAACCGTGCTCACTGAGGAAAGAGACAGGTGCTTGGGTAAGAGCCAGTGCTGTGTTACGCATATATTGTTTTGTATTTTTGCAGGAGCTGGTGGTGCTCTGCCACCTTCACCACCCCAGTTTAATATCCCTGCTGGCGGCTGGGATTCGTCCCCGGATGCTGGTGATGGAGCTGGCCTCCAAGGGCTCCTTGGATCGCCTGCTTCAGCAGGACAAAGCCAGCCTCACCAGGACCCTCCAGCACAGGATTGCGCTTCATGTGGCTGACGGTTTGAGGTGACTCACTCGCTCATGTTATTTTCTATTCCGGGCATGAAATGTGTGACCCCTAGCCCACTGCCAGGCTCTGCAAAGGGCAAGTTGCAATAACTTTGTGTCTCACTGGTACCTTCCAAGCAGTTTATTTTTTTTAATCTCATTGAGTTTATTGGTACATTTTAGGTGTACAGTACAGTTACATTCATCATTGGGATCTTGTACCCTTACATGACAGATCTTGGTTTTCATTTTCTCCCCATATCCCTGCCCTCCCTTCACCCCCTCCCCCCTCCCCATTTACAAAGACTTTGTTTTCATTTTTTCCTTTTCTCATATTTTTCTTGTCCCTTATTTCCTTTCCCCTACCCTTCCCACTTCCCTCACACCTTTAGCCCTTTTCTTCCTATTTGACATTATCAGTTACACAATTTGTTTACAGTTAGACAATTTACACTTTTAGTTTTTCACATCAGAGAAACTATTCAGTATTTACATATATGTGTCTTATTTATTTCGCTTGAGTATAACCTCAATATACATCCATTTTCCTATGAATGACTGTAGTTTCTCTTTCTTTATGGATGAGTAGTACTCCATTTTATAGAAAAACCATATCTTCTTTATCCAGTCTCCAACGGATGGACATTTGGGCTGTTTCCAGGTTTTAGGTATTACAAACTGCCACTGTAAACATTGGTGCACATATATCACTGTGGTATGATTCTTTTAATTCTTTTGGAAAGATACCCAGCAGAGGGATAGCTGGGTCAAGTGGAACCTCTCATCCCAGCTCTTTGAGGTATCTCCATGTTGATTTCCACAGTGGTTGCACTAGTCTGCACTCCCACCAACAGTGGAGAAGGGTTCCTTTCTCCCCTCAACTCTGCCAGTATTGGTTATTGGTTGATTTCTTGATAGTAGCCATTTTTTCTGGGGGGAGGTGGAATCTCAGTGCTGCTTTCATCTGCATCTCTTGAATGACCAGTGATGTATCAGAGTAGAAAACAATGCAATGGAAACTAAGAGAACGATACAAAAAAATCAATACATTGAAGAATTGGTTTTTTGAAAGAATAAATAAAATTGATAAATCCTTAGCCAACCTTGTCAAAAAAACAAAAGAAAGGCTCAGATCCATGCAATTAGGAATGAAAAAGGTGAAGTCACAACCGATCCAGCAGAAATCCAGAGGATCATAAATACCTATTTCAAGAACCTGTATTCTAATAAAATGGAAAACACAGAAGAAATGAACAGATTTCTTGATACTTATGAATTACCAAAGTTGAATGAAGAACATAAAAAAATTCCAGACACCCCAATTACAGTCAGTGAAATTGAAATTGTAATTAAAACATTACCAACAAAGAAAAGCCCAGGTCCTGATGGCTTCACTGCTGAATTCTACAGACATTTAGAGAAGAACTATTGCCAATACTCTTTAAACTTTTCAATGAAATTGAAAGGGAAGCAATACTTCCCAATTAATTCCTGGGAACAAGTGTTATTTTGATTCCAAAACCATGGAAAGACCCAACTAAAAAAAGAAAACTGCAGGCCAATCACCTTAATGAACATAGATGCAAAAATCCTCAATAAGATACTGGCAGACAGAATACAGAGGGTCATCAAGAAGACCATGCACCTTGACCAAGTCGGATTTATCCCAGGGATGCAAGGATGGTTCCAACATATGTAAATCAATAAATGTAATTCATTATATTAACAGAGTCAAGGACAGAAATCATATGATCATCTCAATAGATGCAGGAAAGGCATTTGACAAAATTCAACACCCATTCATGACAAAAACCCTGCAGAAAATCGGAATAGATGGTCTTTATTTCAACTTGATGAAGGCTATCTATGAAAAAACAACAGCCAACATCATATTAAATAGCCAAAAACTGAAAACCTTTGCGCTAAAATCAGGAACAAGACAAGGATATCCACTATCACCACTCCTGTTCAATATAGTTCTGGAAACATTAGCCACAGCAATTAGACAAGAGAAAGAAATTAAAGCAATAAAGATTGGAAAGGAAGAAGTTTAACTGTCATTATTTGCTGATAATATGATACTCTACATAGAAGACCCAAAAATTCTGCCAAAAGTCTTTTGGATTTAATTGACACATTCAGCAGATTAGCTGGATATAAGGTCAACACTTAAAAATCAATAGCCTTCTTGTACACAAGTAACAGACTCACTGAGAGAGAAATTAGCGAAACAATTCCTTTCACAATAGCATCAAAAAAAAAAAAAGATGTATCTAGGAATCAGTCTAATGAAGGAGACAAAAGGCCTGTACACTGAAAATTACAGCACTCTGAAGAAAGAGATCGAAGAGGATTTAAGAAAATGGAAAGATATGCCCTGCTCCTGGGTTAGGAAGAACCAACATAGTGAAAATGGCCATACTTCCAAAATTGCTATATAGGTCCAAGCGGTTTTGATGAAAACTATTGTTTTCTGACTCCAGTGTTCTAATTTCATAAAACAATAGAAAGAGCATGCCGCAGCTCATGGTTGGATGTTGTAGGGGTGAAGTCCAGGAATCCCACTCTAGATCTCATAGTCTTAACCCTAAAATGACCCTAACATTATATAGATTAGACTTCTAAACGTGGAAGTACCAATGAGCTAATTCTCAGATTGGACGAGAATGGAATCCGAGTCAGTGTTGAGATTCAATGTTGACCGTATGTGCAAAATTGATTCCGTTTTCCTCTAGTTTGGCTTCCAACCAGAATTGTGGAAAGTATTAAATTTGTGAAGCAAGGAACCACTGTAATTGGAGACCTTCCCACCTCTAATGTCCTGGTGCTTCTACCTCTGAGTCATCCCTCATTCATTCCTCTCCCACCTCACACCTACTGTTTCTGCAGATCTTTCTCAGCCCCGCCACTAACATGTCCTTTTGCAACCTCTTCTCACAAATTATCTCACTCCCATTTGAGTCTAAGACCCCATCACCTCTCATTCCCAACTTGTCCTTCTGCCTTCATTTTTGTCCCCAGGAATAGAGTATTTTTGACACTGCAACTAGAGTGATTTTTTTTTTCTACCATGGAAATAAGACTGTCTGTTCTCTGTTACTAGTCTTCTTCTGGCTCACTTCTCGGTCGTTATACTTTGTCCTTTGCTCCGTTTGATTTTACTCCTTTGGTTATAGTTAGGTCTGTCCTCAGGGTGTCCCCCAGTGGCTCTGTGGCTCTCTGGTGTCAGTGCCACCATTTGCTACAGGTTCTCTTTATGTTTTCATTTTTCAATCTGCCCGTCCTTGCCCCGAGAGCCTCCCTGCAGTGGCAGCAGGGACTTTCATCTTGCTCGCCATGCTGTCTCCAGCACCCAGAACAGTGCAGCCTCAGAAAACATGTGTTGGGGTGGCAGGGAGAGTGGGGAAGAAGGACAGAAGAAAAGTCATGCCCAGGACCTGCTGGATGCAGTGTTCCTTCGCTTCCTTCCCTCTGGGAAGGCGGTGAATATGCCTTCCTAGCAGTTACCTGCACCTGTGCATGGAGTAGACGGTAAGGAAAATAAGTTAGTCCCTCACAAGCAAGACCAAGTTAGGAGAATATAACAGTGTACGGATAGTTTACATAGAATACAGTGATGGCATTACATGAGTAGATTTCTGTTCCTAGGAGGATCCAGAAACTACTAAAAACCATGTAGATTTTTAAATGCAGCAGCGTGCAGAGATTTGCATTTGGGGCGACATGTCTGCCTTTGAACACCAGGGGGAACCTTATGTCAAACACATCTATGTAAATTGACGTTTAGGCTCCTGTATTTCAGTCACTTTCCTTCATTTAACCAACTTCAGGTGCTGGTTGTTTCCTAATTTTTCCACATAAGCCCTAAAATACTCATTTATAAAATGAAGACTTTTATTTTTTTTCATTCAAGTCCGTTTGAAAAGCCTTATCTTTAAAACAACTTACTTTAGTTCTCGGAAACCTTAAAAGTAACAAACCAGCAGTTTCTGATGAAGTAAATTATCTGAGCATATTTTTCAATACTTTGACTCATTTATTCTTAGCATAATAATACGAGAAGAGCTTTTTAGATGTTATGCCATGAGAGTTTAGTAGCTTTCAGTAGCTGTCAGTTTTTTTACCAGCATTAAATATGTGTGTTTTTTTTTTTTTTTTTTTTTTTGGTATCAGCGATCGAACTCGGGGTCCTTGTACTTGCAAGCCAGGTGGTGGAACCACTGAGCTAAATCCCAGCCCCTAAATATATTTTTTAAACTCAGCATTAAGATTTGTTATTCCAAATATAACAGAGAGCTGTAACTACTGAAGGAGGAAGTGACAATAAAATCATAGTCCTTTGGCGTGTCTTGGGTGAAGGAGCTATTTAGACTGGCATACAGGAACTTTATTCAACATTGCATCTCCCCTCTCTGAAATCCTGCTGTCCACTAGTACATCTATAATTTAGTCCCTTCCTTTCAGCTCTTTACTGTAATTCTCACCTACTTGTGTAGACGGTCACCTGCATTTTCCAAAATTTTCGAAATTGAGTTTGCCCCCTTGCTATTACCTTCTGCCATGAGTCTATGGTTTTTCCTGTGTTCCCTACTCACCATGACAGGACTCCTGTAGTCACATCCTGACCAATGTCCTCCTCCCCCAAAGTAAGTATCCATTTGTCCATCTGGTCCTTGAAATGATTTGACGTGATTTTAGCAATCAGCTCATTTATTTATTTTGCCATTGATGCTGCCTTGCTACAGTTTTTCCAGGGAATTAGCAGAATATTTCTTTTACAACAAAAAGCCAAGTTTGCCTGAAATTCCCTGTGTTCTCCATCATGCTTGACTGCGGCCCAGCGCCTGGGCCCTTCACGTGCACCTCTCGCCTGCCTCTGCAGCCCCTCACTGTTCTCCAGCCTGCTCTCTGCATCCTGCCCAGGCTGGAGGGTGAATTTCATGTCTCTGTCCTTACAGTTGCCAATTCCTCTTTTTCCACACAGTTGTCTGCCTGGGGAATTCACGTTCATGTAAAGTTGCTCACATGCCCCTTTCCTGTGAAGCTCAGTCTTCACCAAGAGGGAGCCTCTTTTCCGGTTCTGGCCCTTGCTCTATGCAGGATGTTGTATTAGGAGCTGAAAAGGAAGGGTCGAGATGATCTTATGCTGGAGGTGGAAAACTCGCTCCAGAGGGAGAGTCTGCTTGCTCCCTTCACCTCTGTGTTTTTCTTCTTTTATGCTTCGCCATCTTTGGTGCTTACAAGTTTCTGTGGCTCTAGTTGGGTGCCTGACTGTCCTGGACGGCGGCCATCTCAGGAGCAGAGATGCAAAGATGGCTTTGTGTCTCCTAAGAACTGGTTCTCAGAGATGTCTTATCCATGTTTGTTAAAGGAGTGAATGCATTCTATTTTTTGAGTTCTTTTATTCAGGATGAGACGAGGTTGGACTTTAAATCATGAAGGCAGGGGTTTCTTAGACATTCTGGTGATAATCATGATTAAAGAGTTAACTGAATATAGTTAATTTTGATAAAATGTCTGACAATACTCATTGTCCCACAGTGCATTATTTATAGCTGAATTATTGTCTGGAAGGCAAGGTCTGTACTTATTGCTATTTCAAAAGCTACTTTTCTATTATAAGCTATTAAATTGTACTTTTAAAGATTAAATTGTATAATTGAACATTCTAACCTAGGTAATCTTATCTCCCACTGATATTATTTCAAATTAAACTTAACTTTTTTTAGCATTCAGGAAGCATTCTGAAAGAGTCTGTGTCCTATAAATATGCAGAAATTGGCTATAAAGGATTCAGATACTATTTAATGATGTATGACTTGGCTTTAACATTTTTATTTTTAATCTCCCAGCTTTTCTCTTCACATGGGAAGAATAGCTAATGGACTTTCAATAAGCCCTTAGCAAATTTTCCTTTTGAGTTCATTACTTTTTGTTAAGGTCAACTTCATTAGTGCATTTATCTTATTTATCAGCCAAAACTATGTATACTGAAATGAATAGACCCACTGTCAAATGTCCTAACTACATCCCGGAAGAGGGAGAATCTACTTCATTAGTTGATGTAGTGAAACGACACGGACTATCTAGACCATCACTCAATGGAAAGTTCAGGGTACCACACACTCTCCTCTCCTAATCCCTACAACAATGATTGGAACTAAGTAATGGAATAAATACTTTTTAATACAATCTGAACCCAAACCAAAACCCACAAGCAAACAGAGAACTGAAATTAAACTGCATTAAGTCCTGTGAAAATTTGTTCTTTCAAGGTAGGTTATAAGATACCTGTGAGATTGGAGGAAAGTGAAGCCAGAGTTGAATTTTGTAGATGTCCAGGAAAAGGGGGCAATAGTGAAATTGGTCATTGGGTCACTGTAAGCTCTCTAATGATGTTTCTAGAGTGAATGAGACCTTGTTGATATTTTAACTCCTGATATATTAACTAGTTTTTAATTTCTTGTCTGTAATGCCCAACTTTAGTTGCTTATGGTTAAATGAACCAGTTTCTAAAAGGAAAGACTTTAATATCTCCCAATAACATCTTCCTCAAGTTAATGCTTTATTCATTCTCTCAATCCAAATGTTCTTTGTTCAGTTTAATTTATAGCAGAATTGAATTTACAGTGTTATATCTTCAGAGTAAAATAGAAATCTTATATTTTTATTTGTTATTTTTGAAAAGTAAGAAATAGTCTCCAAAACATCTGGAAACATTTTAGTCAGAAAAAAATAACAAAGAAAGGTGATAGAATTTTGAAAGCTGAAATAAAGTTCTATACAATTTTAAGAAAATCAAAACTATTAAATAAAAAGTTACAACAAAATCGTATTGCCTTTTATTTAACATTGTTTTTTTTTTTTTTTTTTTTTTTTCAGGAGATTGGACTCAGGATCTTGTGCTTGTGAAGCAGGCATAGCACCACTGAGCTAAATCCTAGGCCCTTTAACATTCATATTTTTAAAATAGTTAAAATTTTCATTTTACATTAAGAGAATTCAGAATTTCCTTTCTGTAATTGTTAAGATGTATGAAAGAAAGTCCCACAAAATTGTTAACCTTGCCTGAGATGGTTGTATCTTAAAGTTTAAATCACTCACTAGGAATGATCATTTTTTAAAAAAAGCATAATCTTGCTTTGTAATATTAATTTATGTGTTTTGATTTTCTTTTGTAATATCTCTAAACTTGCCAGGTCAAAGTACAGAATTTTTGGTGGTTTGCATAATAGACATAACAAATTGAAGGAAATGATGACAAAAATTATATTATAGTCACATTTTAATAAGAGCCCCTGTGCATTTTTCTGACAGATATCTCCATTCGGCCATGATTATCTACCGAGACCTGAAGCCCCACAATGTGCTGCTTTTCACCCTGTACCCCAACGCTGCCATCATTGCCAAGATTGCTGACTACGGGATTGCTCAGTACTGCTGCAGGATGGGCATAAAGACGTCAGAGGGCACACCAGGTAGGACAGAAGGGTTGCTCGACCTTCTGTCTTCCAGGACGAATAACCAGTGTTCTTCCTGTGGGTTCAGGAGCGTCCAAAGAAGCGCTGTGGCCTTTCACATGGTGAACGGTCTCTGCTTTCTGAATAATGCTGACCATTCCGTTACCGTTTTTATTATGTGTTTTGTAGGGGCCAAAAGCCAAAACCGTATGTAATGTCCCAGGGGAAAACTGAGTAAAAAGGAAAGAATATTTGTTGTAAGTTATATTTTGAAAGTTAGATTTTTAATAACTTCCAAATACTCTAGAGCAGTGGTGGCGAATCCATGGCAGGATGTGCCTCAACAGGCTCTTGGTACCATTTGAAGCTCTGAAGGGTTTGCCATCACTGCTCTGGAGGTACTAAAGGTAACACAAAACTCTCATATGGGTGCTGTTGGCACTGAGCTAAAAATGAAGCCAAATGGATTTAGGTAGACAAATTCTTTTTCACAACTGAACTCAACTCTGGAAACCCAGGTATTTTAATAACTAAAGTATCCAGATGCTGACCGTGGCCTTTATTTCTTACACTCACTGTGAATGTGTCACATTTCACTTCGGAAACATAAACGTGAGTACATGAGGCCAGCCCCGACCCTACTGAGGGTTGTTGTAGTGTAGGCTATGCGTGTCATTATTAGCTTTCGTAAAATTAGGAATTATATATTCCTAGACTTTTGGCTCCAAGAGCTTTACACAAACGCTTTGATCTGGGTTTGTCCTGGTTGCACTGTTCTTGATAGAAGCACAATTGCTTCTTTTTTTAGGTCAGTATGAGGGCTTAGGGCTTTAAATGCTGCATTTCAGTTTTGTTTCTTTGTAATTTGTATGATATTTCCATGTTTAAAGAAGCTGTGTGCATCTCCATGCAGCCCTGCATAGGGAGATGAGTCATGTGATTGTGTAAAGTAAAAAATGTCCACAGTGGAAACCATGACATCTATAGTCTACCATCATTTTCTTGCCTTTTAATTTCGCCTTCTAGGGTCATCCCTAATCCCCCACCCCTCCCCAGATATACACATACTCCTTTGGCTCTTGCTTGTTCTGGTAATCCTATCACTACCAGTGTTAACTAGCTGCACTCAGTAAAAATTCATTTCTGGTGTCATCGTATACTATTGTGTTTCCATGGCCCTGCAAACAGCATGTGCTCCCCACCTTACTGTCTACCCTCTGGGAAACCCCAGCCCCACTCTGTTTCTCAGCTTCCCTCTACTTCTACTCAGCGGTTCACCAGAATCTCAAGTTCTGATTTGTAAGAAACAACCACAAGGCCAGCCATCTGTGTAGACTTCTTGTCTTTCAGATTGTAGTTTGAGCAGGGAATAAAAAATTGAGAGGTTGACATCGTTTTGAAAAGGACAGTCTTTCGTCAACCTTAATCTTTAGTCGACCAGTATGTTGTGAGGAATCTGTAAATAAGGTTGTAGGGGTCTTGATATAAACTTGGTGATTGCAGCTCATGCCTAGAACAGAAGTAAATGAGTTAGAGGATATCTTGTTTAGCAAAGAGGTTCTAGTTTGTTCTATCTCCCGACTTATGTGCGTAGGTAAGCAAAAGGCCTAAGATTCCCCAGATTCCAATGCCCGATTTTATTTTTTTCTCCAAATATGTTCTTCCTTTTGTTTTGCATGGTTTTATTTTGAAAACATGTGGTTTCTAGGTCTCTAGGTCTGAAAGTTTGCTGTTATTTTCTCATTTGTAAAACGAGAGCATTTAGACTCAGTAATATTCTATCACTCAATAAGTGGTCGAGATGATAGCTCAATCTAAATGAAGATGGATTCCAGAGAGGTATTTAACTTAAAATCCTATAGTCTCTTTCCTAGACCCCATGCAACTCTAACATGTGCTCAAAGTGGTTTAAATATTCAATCATAGTTGTTAAAAAGCAAAACCAAACAGCAGAACTATTAATAATGAGTAGAGTAGCGAATTTTGTTTGGGAAAACAAGCACCGAGGTTGGAATTCTAGAGGAAAAGTAGACACAGCACAGTGGTGCTGTCTTTGTAGATCTGCTCACAGTGTTCATAGGATGCTGAGGTGGGCCACACCACTCTTAGACTCCCTTTCTTGTCCACTCAGAGAGGACAGTGGATCTCTCTGGGGACTAGTGAGATGCTTCTGGATTGGAGCTCTACTACTTGCCTCAGTGGTCCAGATCAGCTAGCAGCCGGCTCAGTTCAACTAGGTTCACACTTACAGCCTTTTATTTTGGTATCTGACTTCCTCACTTTGATTGAAACCTGTGTAAAATTTTATAACCACCTGATTCTTTTTTTTTTTTTTTTTTGGTACTGGGTATTGAACTCGGGTCCTTGTGCTTGCCAGGCAGGCAGTGGCACCACTCAGCTAAATCCCCAGCCCTTATAACAATCTGATTCTTAATAGAAAGCCAGATACTTTCTCTGGATCATTTGCGATGTCAAATATTGACTTTTGGCAACAAAAATTAGAAGGATCATAACACAAATACCTAGGGCCTGGTCTGTTTTTCTACCCACTTTTTGCCTAGGTTACTTCATGTATTGTATTTTTTTTTTACTTGTTATATTACCAAACTTCTCTTCATTATTACTATTTTTATTTGTGGAGCACTTCTAGTTATCTCAGTGCTAAACCCTGCCTCAAATTTATATGGCAGTGCCTGTCACATTACTGCTGTCACCCAAACCCTTACCAAAGCGATTCTGAGAAGAAAATGCTATATTCCCTTTCATAGGCTGTGCCTTCTTTGTATCTTTCCCTCTACCAGATCTTCCTGTTAAGGTTGTATCTTTTAACATTAAAGCTTCTTGAGGAACCGAAGACTTTACACTTGTTAAATTTCATTTTGTTGTGTTTTATGTTAATCTTTCCTACAGTGCCTTCACCCTGCCTGTGCCTGTGAGTTTGGGTGAATTATGGTATCTCAGGGGAGCCATGGATAGGGGCAGACATTTCCGGTTCGTGAACAGTGTTGCTGGCTCGTGCTTAGTGAGCCTGTTGAGTGGATGGATGATCTCATTTACACTTTATGAGCCTCGGGTTTAGGTCCTGTGGCCATTCTTGGTCTACAGATGAGGAAACTAAAGCTCAGGGAATGCCGACTATTCCTTTGGGGCAGTACGAGGTGAGAACCCAAGCAGTCCGAGAGTAGAGACTTTGGCCCAGAGCCCTGACCTCACGAGACCAAAGGCAGGAACAGCTCACTGACAAGGACAATGCTGTGGTGTGAGTCCATGTACGTGAAGGGTAGATATGGAGTGAGTTTAACTTTAAACTGCTTGGAGAGTTCCAGCTTTAAGTCCACAAGGATTTCCTGTTGGGGCACCCAATTCTGTATTCTGTGACACTGTATTTGTTGTTGACTGAAGTGAATCTGACCGATGGCTTCAGGTCTGTCAATGCCCATACGACGGTCGTTAGATGAATGAAATGTTACTCTCTGCATATACACTGTCATCTGATAAGAGGCTATGCCGCGTACTCTACTCATACTTCTCTGACATTAAATGAGCAATAAAATACGTGTTTCTGGGTACTGTGTGAAATATACTCAGACTTGATTCATAAGTTTCTCACATGCTTGATCCAAGGATCTTTTCTTTATTGGCTCATTACATTTGTTAAAATTCAGGGTTATCTGAAAAACTATTGCTAAAAATAGGTTTTAGACAACGAGTCATATTTTTCTCAATTACTTTAACACTGTAATTGTTATAATAATTCTTCAAGGGAAAATTATGCTTTATGTATTCATTTATTCATTCATTTAGTACTTTATTAAACACTCACCAAGTACCAAACTGATTCCATTTAATAGCTTTGAGATATTCATCAGTAAATTGTTAATACAATCAAGGACATGAGAAATTCCTTATTTGAATTTATAGAAGCATTTGAAAGAATATTATAATTTAGGCACTTCCTGAATGTATAAATAATATTACATTACCATACTGGGAATCATGTCAATGAAGACATGTACTTTGAAGAGAAGGTAAAAAGGTTAAAAACATTTCCATATTGAAGTAAATATTTCTTTCCATATTCACAAGGATATTATTGTTTTCTGAATAACTGTGAAAAAATGTCCAGCCTTCTGAGCAGCTCTCCTGTGTGAATTAGAGCCTGGAGGAATAAAATCTGTTGCAAAGGATCTGTGCATTGAATGAGAATTTAGAAACTAGACTGAGTGATCTTTCGAGTCTCTTCCTGCTCTCTGGCTCTGTGCTTCCAAATTCTAACAGTAAATTATTAAGGGAAAAAATAGGCTGAATGTTTTCATAGTCCTTGAATAGAGCCTTGATTTAATAGATACCTAATTAATGTGTCGAATGAATAATAAATAATTGGGTAAGATTTAGATGAACTTCTAAACTCTTTTTATGCTCTAAGAAGATAAGCATAAAGGCTGTTGATGAACTAGTTATTATATGGGTAGCTCATTATTTTTAAGTACCCTTGACTTCACCATATAATTATATTGGTAGTCCTAAGAAAACAACATGACATTTCTGAAAGGATCATGCCACTTGAACAGTGGAAAGTCTGATCTGCCTGCCACAAGTGACCCTTGTGCATAACAAATGAATGTTCAAAAAGGTTTGTTGTAAAAATGTAGAAATACAAAAAAGAAAAGACCATGTATACAATATAAACACCTAATAATCATTATTACATTTGTATGTATTTATTTCTAGTATTTACTGACTACATGCATATGTATATATATTCTCATCTGCTTATTATTTTGAAAATATTTAAACCTGCAGAGTTTGAAAGAATAATGTAATGTGCATTCACTTGCCCTACAAGTATTCATGATTTTAAAGTATTGACTGATTTTATAGATTTTAAACTATGTGCATATTCATTGATTTTTAAACCATTTCTTCCCCTTTCTCTTGCTCTTTGTATATATCTATCTTTGAAACTTTGACATTGTGATTATTATTTCTAAGCATGTTGCACGAATTTGCTAAGACTCAAGATGCTTGTTTAGTTAATCACAATGAAGTCACAGTTAAGAAAATTGTTTATTTTTTCTCACATTTTAGATAATTTTGTTATCTGAAATGATGCCCTTTAGTTTCTTTTCATTTATGTTATAGATTATCATCTTAAAAATGATTTTTTAGTATACTGCAGAGTATACATTGCTTAACCATTTTCCTGTTGTGTTTGGATTTCTTAAGATGGTTGATATTTTAAATTGTTGATGTTCTTGAATTCTTGAGATTGTAGAAATTATTCATTTTTTTCTTGAAGGATTAAAAGTGATTCATCTCCTGTAGAATGAAATGTTTATTCCTCTTTAACAGAACTTCAAGAGCTGGGGATTTAGCTCAGTGACACCTCACCTGCCTTGCAAGCACAAGGTCCTGGGTTCGATCCTGGGTACCAGAAAAAAAAAAAAAAAAAAGGAAAGGAAAGCTAAAAGAACTTCAGTAGGAGCCTGAGAGAGAGCACTTTTGTTTTTTATTTTTTTAGTTTGGTCTTTATTTTTATTTTTTCATTGTATAGAATGGAGTGGAAATAAGGGCATTGTTATTTGATTCAGGTAAAAGTAACTTGGTGAGAAGTCTAGGTAGCTCCTTCCTCCTCACCCTTCTTTTTCAGAATCACTTGAAAATGGTTAATATTAGGAGCCAGAAAAATGGTAAAGATTTTTTCCCTCTGCTTCATTTCTTTAATTATAACTCCCTACTCAATAATTTATTATTGAATGTTTATCTTTTTTATCCTTCAGAGTGACTGTGTTGAAGATTGAAGATCTTATAATAGGGCTATAGGATTTAATAATAAAGATCGAAGGAGATGAGTTTCCTGCAGGATTGACCTTGGGGTGTGTGTCCTGGGACAAGGCTATTATCTGTTTTTATCAGATGTCTCCTTGCAGGGATCATAAGGCCTCTTAGAACCCAAGGCCCTGACTTTGGACTTAGGATCTGCTTCCTTGGATGTATGGCCCCTGGTGTTGGGCATACTTATTGTTGTGTCTGCTTTTTTCAGGCTTCCGTGCTCCTGAAGTTGCCAGAGGAAATGTCATTTATAACCAGCAGGCTGACGTCTATTCATTTGGTTTGCTGCTCTATGACATTTTGACAACTGGAGGTAGAATAGTAGAGGGTTTGAAGTTTCCAAATGAGTTTGATGAATTAGCAATACAAGGAAAATTACCTGGTAAGTTCTGTTTTTGTCTACAAGAAGGACTTTTCCTTGCTGCCAGCAGTTTCATTTCCAAGTAGTTATATACTGATTTCATTTCAGCACAAATACATTTTGTTTAGTGCATAGATATCCTTAAATCCTATGACACATTAATAAAAATCACATGAAAAACATTTTAGACTTTAAAAAAATCCCATCAATAGTTGTGAATTTGGTATTATAGTTACAAGAATACTCAGGAAAGGAAAACTACTAGAACCTCAGATGTGATAAATTCTACTTCTCGTGACGAGTTACTATGTGCCCACTAGACAGGAGTATTTTCATTTTCTTGGAGCAAAATAATTTATATGTAGGAATGAAAGCCTGAATTATTTACAATAATAATTGTTAGTAATAATTATTTAAAAGAACAGGTAAATGAGTACTTAATGAAATCAGACCTCCTTGTAATTGCTGCCTCATGCTTTCAAGAAATTCTAGGAGCTTGTCATTCGTTCCTTGATCATTAGTTTCGTTTCCACTACAAAGTGTTCTTTTTATTTATTTAGGTCTCTCACATTTCTCCTTTCCTTTTCACTGAAGAAATACTTTAGAATAGACACAATGGGCCAGGTATGGGGAATATAGCATTAACTTTCCTACCAGCAGGCTTCCAGTGATCCTGGCAAAAGGAAATTTATTATTCTTTGAGTATGTCAGAGAAACCATCAAGGTCATTTTGTTTATATCAGTAGTTAGCTTTTCAGTTTGAAGTATCTAGGTTTGCATTCTGCACCAACCTGAAGAATGTCATTCCTCTTATAAATGATGAATGTGCACAAATGAATGGAGGGTAGATATGAAGATAAAATGCACGCTTACTTTTATTATTAAAATAAAAAGGATTTGAATAGAAGCCTAATTATAATGAGCAGAAATGCTTAAATGTCTATTTTAAATGAAAGTATGGAATGGAAATCTCTTATTTTATTCGGTTGGTATCTGTTGTCTTGATTTTAAAGATATCTTTTTGGCTGTCTCAAATAGAGATCAAGTTAGTTTTAATTTTGTGATAAATAAATTTGTCATAAACAGCAATGTGGAAATCAGTGTTTTCCTTTGCAATGTCTGGACTTCTCGTATATATTGAAAGGAAATAAATAACTTTGTTACTGTACTAGTATGATATTTTTCATCCTTTTAGATCCAGTTAGAGAATATGGTTGTGCACCCTGGCCTAACGTTGAGAAGTTAATTAAAAAGTGTTTGAAAGAAAATCCCCAGGAAAGGCCTACTTCTGCCCAGGTATTCTTATATTCAAAATTTGTTAATATTTTATGCAAATATGCTATAGATGTATATATATATCTATCTATATCTATATGTGTGTAAAATCCTCATATATATATTTAGTGAAACACATAAATACTCACTGCCCAGTTAAAATAAGGTAAAATCCCTATAATCTGTGCAATTCTGGAACACAAAAAATATTGACAATACTTCAGAAACCCCCATATGTCTTTTTCTATTTGCTGTTCTGTATTTATATGTTTTCACTTCTGTAGAATGCCTGTTTATTATTTTGCCCATTTTCCTAATGGGTTATTTGCCTAAAATTACATCAGCAAAAGACAATCTTTACTTATAATATACTAATCCTTTGTTGGTTATAGCCTATGTTGAAAAATTTTCAGTTTGTGTGGTATGCCATTTAAATTTTTTTATTCATTTGAGTTTATTGGTTCAGGTATCCAATATGAGGACATTCATAGAGTACCTTCCATAAACATAATTTTAGAATCTTAATTTGATAAACAAAACAATTCGTTCTCTTTATGGTTATTACTTTTCAGGTTCTGTTTTATTATTTTTGGTACCAGGGATTGAACTTGGGTCCTTGCACTTGCAAGGCAGGGCACTGAACCGCTGAGCTAAATCCCTGGCCCTTTCAGATTCTGTTTTAGAAAGTGCCCCCCCACCAAGTCACAAATATATTTATGTATAATTCAAAAATCATAAAGTTTTAGTTGGGCACAGTGGCGCATGCCTGTAATTCCAGCAGTCTGGGAGGCTGAGACAGTTTGAACCTAGCCTTAGCAATTTAATAACCTAGTAAGACCCTATCTTAAAATAAAAAATGAATGA